CTTCTACTGGTAAATATTTCTGCCACCAAGACAAGCTGGCTGAAATGGCTTACAAGTATGCTGAAGTCTGTATGACCAGACTGCAAAGCAAATATCCATTAATACAGCTTGTTGGGCAGCCAGACCTTCAGTGGATATCAGCAGGGTTCAATAACTGGACAAGCAAAGGAGATGTCATGTGTGCATGCACTGTAGCAGCAAGTCACCCCTTTTTTTTTTAATTTCAAATAATAACTGAGAGCAGTAAGATCATATGCTTTTTCCAGTTTGCTCGTTTACCCAGTAAAGGGCTGACAGCACATATATGGCCTTAGAACTCTGAACTGTTTCCTCCTGCCCAGTAGTTGAATTCTGCACAGATTTCTTTGCTGCTGCTATCAATATTGCATCTCTTTTCTTCAGCTTCATACTGACTGTCTATACAGACAAATGCCACGTAGTGAAAGTACTTCAAAAGTGCATGTAGACAATCATGATGTGATCATAATGTTTCAGAATTAATCAGTAGGGTTCATCTATTCAGATGTTAAGGCTAGTTAGCAAGTGCAGTACCTACCTACAAAGCCTAGGCAATCAGAGAAGCTATGCAGTGTGCTCTCACAGCTAGCATGCAGACCTGGGCTCTCTGGAGAAGCTACTCACTGGACAGTACCCTAGACCAGAAAAAAGGAGCCCTGGACCATGGCACTACATTGACTTGTCTGAAACTTACATTTTGTTACAGTAGAGTAGGTGAAAGGAGAATAAACCCCCTCCAAAAAAAAAAATGAAATAAGATGAGCTTCTCTGTAGAGTAGTTCTGAAACTAAGAATACAATAGCTTCCCAGCAGCTGGTGGTGTGACTTCCTGTGTTCCACCTATCTTTTCTAGCCACCCTCCAAATGAATTTCACCTTGGCTAACACAAATAAAGGCTGAAGGTCTCCAAATCCCACTAATGGGATAACATTGCCTCTAACCTTTTGCCAGCGAGTAACAGTCTTGCAGGAAGTTTGCAGGACAATAGCAGGGAGAGTGCCAGGTCTGCTCCGTAGCTGGTAAATGGTTTGTGTTCACAAACACTCTGCTTCAGAGAGGGCTCAAAAATCACTTTGTGTACTAGTTTGAGCAAGAAAAAAGTAAGCATAGGTCTAGTCCAGAAGCCTGAAACCTAAAGTAGCTCATAAACTAAAAAATCTCACAAGTCAGCTTTGGCAATTATACTAGAAAAATAACTTATTTCTCCTTGGTCTTGCTGCATTAAAGTAACACAGGAGGGAAGAGGAAGTACACAGACACTGCAAACACAACAGCAGGCTTCCTGTTGACCTTGGCTCTTGAACACAAAGCATGTGCTGTTAGAATATTGGAGTTATCTGCAGAAACTGATTCAGAGCTGGCAAGCTAAATACTATTTCAGGCCTGCTGGGATGAGATCTAGGTAGTTACCCACTCTTTTATGTGGAACAAGCTATGAGACTGAGGTTGTGTATTGACTGTTGACCTATATCATCAAGTGTAGCAAGCACAGTTTCCTTTTCAATGGAAATTATTTTTGTGTTTTTTCCAAATTGCACTACTTTCTCTATGTTTCTGTTTAACCAAATTTCTGGAGCAGGCCTGTGCGTGGACAATTTGTGACTCTTAAATCTGGATATTGGTAATATCACTGTAAGATTTGTAGCAGAGAAGGTAGGAAACATCTGAAATAACCTGCTTTGGTGTTACGTGGGTTGATTGCAGGTATTTACAGTATCGTACTACATGTAATGGCAGCATAAATGGAAATAGCTTGGAACTTAGTAGAAGCCTGAATAATGCATGCAGTCTTACAAATAAGCCTGATCGCTGTATTCTTCATCTCAAGTTTGGGGATGTTTCTCAACTTTGGATTTGCTTCTTGCCATGATGCCTGTCCAGCTCTCAGGATAGCTTTTTGCCCTTACCAGTGTCTCCACAGTATAACTTTCAGAGTGGTTTGGGATTGAGAGTGCTCATACCCAGCTAGTCATGCAATATTTCTGCTGTATGAATTTGTAGATGGTTATTAGGGATGAAGATTTGCTGAGCTTCCTACTTCTCTTCTACCTCTAGGAGCTTAGATTTTTAAGTGCAACTAATTCCCCAGCTGAGATATTATTGTCTTGTAAGTGCTCATTAAAGTAAAGATTAGGAGAACCAATCTTGGCAGTTACTTTCTCTTAGTCCAGATTGAAGCAAGTTGTTATGAAGTAGCATATTTTATCAGGAAAGGAGCCTTTAACTCTGTTTTGTGTGTTGGAGTGATTTGTAGTGGGATCTGTTAATAAATGAACCTATTTAATTTTGCTCTGATGCACCAGTACTTGTATTTTGGTACAGGTTTGGATACAAGGAAGGATCAAAAGAGTCTTAGTATGGTATATAATCAGAGAGCCATGTAGGTGCTCACTTGACATGTTATTTGTGAGACAGCCCAGTGTCCTGAAGAAAATGGCAGGTTATTCACACTGGACTTCTCATTGTTCTAACAAAGTGCTTTATAGTACAGTGCTAATGCTGAGAATTAGGAGTTCAGGTTAAATCCCTGATATACAGAAAATGTTTAGAGCTCTTGTGCTCAGCAGTGGAAATGCAGAGTAAGTAAGGTGCTATCCTATTTAATTGCATCACCACAAGTTAGTTGAATGAGAAAGCAGATATCTAACAAACCTGCTAATGTGTTCTCTGTTGGAGGGTGCCAGAAATAAAAAAATAAAAAAAATAAATAAAAACTCCTTTAACATTGCTGCAGACCAAGATCTTTACTATATATGATTCCCACTGTTACTAGTGAAGTCCTTATGAAGCTACCTATGACTACTGTTTTAAGAAGTTGGGTATTCAGAATGTCTTTTTTAAAAGCAGAGGGGTTTACATCTTGGCTAATGAGCTCAAAAGCCACTGTGGAATATCTGTTTGAGAATAATTAATTTTAAAGAAATAGCTTACTGCTGTGACAGATTTTATTTTCTTTGGAATTTAAGTCCTTGTTCAGGAGGTGAAGAATTTCTCACATTTCCCTGGGTGTGGTAAATAACTACCATCTTCATACTAATATAGCATCCTCCAGCAAAAAGACAAGAGAATGAAAGTATGTCCTTTTCTGTTCTCACTCTTTTTTTTTTTTTTTAATCTTTTTTTTTTTTTTATCTTTAAAATATGCAGCTGTTAACGCCTGACTAGGAGCATTATTCATATGGTAGGGCATTACAGCGTAAAGCTTCCTTGGTATTGTAATAAGCTGTGGGACCTGATTACAGTACCTCTGACCCTCAACTGAGTTACACAGCCATTAAAGGTGATAGTACAGGTGGGGACCAGCCTTGCTCTCAGGCAGCATCTCAGTACAGAGCTGTCTGGACTGAGCCACTGCAAGGCTTGCAGCAAGCCTAGGTAAATTTGGAAGATTCGAGATCTATTTTGCCTGTTTGTCAAGTCCCTTGGCTGTAGCTCTTGTAAGAGTGCTCATTACAGAAGGGGTGGACACCAGACATTACACAAGTGTACTGTATTGTACTTATCAGTATGATATAGGATTTTACATAGGACTTGTACCAGTTTAACCAAAACTAGAGTGCTTTATGCAACCTCTTAATTCAAAAGGATATGTCTGAGAAGCAGGGTCAGCACTGAATTCATCTCCCAGTTGGAAGGAATGTTTATAAAAGGGCTGTCTTAAATCTGCTGTTCTGTGTTCCTCATCAGACTACTTATTTCTCCCCTATCAGGACCACCAGCCAGCCCACAGAGTACTCCTGCCAAGGCCTTCACAGTGGGCAGCCCGTGCGTTTCCTCACCACGGCCGGCTGCCTGTGCTCCCATTTATTCTGGAGACCTTCCCCTGTCTACAAACACTCTGACGGGCGCTCTCAAAACCCAGACGGCCGCAGCCTGCACCCCAGCCAAGCAGAGCAGAGCCAGCCCATGTGCTTCTCCCAAACTGATCCCTTCCTCAAAAATGTCCATTAAACACTGGGTTACAAGGACTCCATGCTCTTCTCCTCCAGAAGTGGGGAAAAAGGCTCCTTCTCCTAGAAAAGCCCTGGCAGAAGTCACCCAAGGTCTCCAAGAAGCCACTTGCCCTCCGAAAGCCCCGCACTCACAGTTTGAAAAGCGTGCCAAGAGAAGGCTTGACTGCAGCAAGGAGGACGATATGGGGCAGAAGTGTCTTCAGGCTTGTAGCTGTGTAACTGAACTGGACCATGCAGCTAAGAAATCCAAGATGAATTTATGTCACTTGGCTGCAGACCAAAAAGCTTGTGATGAAGGCTCTCTTAGCCTGGATGACTTGGATAATGACCGCGAAGGCTCAAGCTGCAGCCCAAAAGAGTCTTCTTTTCCTGGAAGCTGTGTTAATCCATCAGGTGTTCAAACGCTCCCCCATCTTTTCAGATCTCCATGCAGGAAAGACACTGAGGTAGTAGATAAAGAGAATAATTCACCTGAAAGAAAAAATTGGTTGTCTGCTCTGGGAGAGAAGCTCCGGACTGGCAGAGCTGGCAGCCAGAGTGCATCAAACAGCCCCCCATCATCTTGCAGTCCTGGTGCCAAAAGACAGGAGGCTGTGACAGCGGACACTTCGCTGAAAACTGTAAGTAGGACAGTCAGTGACAGTGGTCATGAAAGAAATTATCCCTAGCTGCCACTCTCCCCTTGTTTGTTCTCTCCTGCTCAGACATTCAAAAAATAATTTGATCCCTTTGATTATGGACAAAATGGATGACTTCTGGCCTAGTAAGCCAGATATATTAATGCTGTTATCTCCTAATCCCATCCATATACAGAAAATTTTTAGGATGTTAATGTCCCTCACTTTAAAGGGACTTAGGGCACACAGGAGCTCAGAGATCCTCTCAGTCCCCAGTCAGGTGTTTGAAGGATGTAGCCATCATCTGAAATACAGCTTTACTCTGAAGAGCACAATAATGACAGCACCTTTTCTGGCAGATCTACTGTTTATATGGTCACTATCACATCTGCCTGTTTATGTTACTGGAAAGACACTTTAGCTTTGGAAGAAGGAGTTAAATTTTATTTTAGCCCAGGTAGCAAAATAATTTGTTACCCATGTTAAAAACCATGGGGCTAAATAATGCCTTCAGTTACTTCAGTTGAAAACTAGCAGAAAACAAAGGAATTGTAAAAGAGTCAGAGGACAGGACTTGACCTACATAATCCTACTGTTGATATACAAGAAGTCTGTCACAGAGCTCATCATAGGATCTTATAAAGCAGCCAAAAAAAGTTGGCATGGGGGTTTAACATGCAAACTGAGAAATTACAATTATCTTTTTTGAAACAAACCGAACTTGACTTATGTCTGGAACCGGACTCCCAGTCCTACAGTGTCTTTGATTGAGTCTTATTTCAGTAAGTGCTAGGAAAATTTTCACTCATCAAATTTTAATTGTATTCTCAATTGAATATCTGATGCTAGAGGTCATTGCCATCATTAAGGCTTATTTTGGTCAAGTATCTAATGTCTTACATGATTGCACCTCTTCCAACACTTCTACCAGATGTGAAGTGGGCGAGCCACCACTCCTTAAGTTACGCATAGTAGCTGCACTCTTCATATTGTGGTTGTCCCAAGAAATCTTGGTTATAGTGAACATACAACTATTAGTGCTTTATGCTGTACATGTTTGAATACAAGACAGAAAGATCTGCCCAGGAGAAAGATTACTGTAGAACAATTACCTTTCCTGCCCAGTATGCTCTAGTTAAGATTTTGGGCTGCTTCTGTGTTGTACTTGAAGCCTGAGGAGGTGCCTGGAATACCAGCAGCATCTGTTGATCTGCTACATCTTGGAAATCTGCAGCCTCTCATCTGCCGTAGGGAAGCTGAAATTGCAGCCAGAGTGCTTTTCCTATGGCAGTAAGACAACCCCAGGTGTTAGCCAGTGTTTCCTGTAGGTAGTAAGCCTCTTATCTGTGAGACAAACAGATTATAGTAAAGAGCCTTTCATTTACTATCTTATTTGGGAAACTACACAAACTGGAGCAATGATGGAGGGGTGACTTTAAGACTCCTGCAGCATACAAACTGTTAAGCTAGAAATGTTTCTTGTTGATTTTGTTGTTTGTTTGGGTTTTTTTTTCCTAGGCTGCAACCACTTCAGTTTCCATGAGGAAGATCTGTACATACTTCCACAGAAAACCACAGAATGACTGAAGCAGCATGCAGAGGTTACACCTGATGGATGGTGACACTATGGTATCAAGACCAGATTTAGCAGTGCTGGAATTATGCAGTTTGTTGTCAGACATTCATAAACTTGAGGTTTTATTTGTCTGTTTTTAAAGCTGTTAACAGTTGAAGTCAGCTGAGTGTGGAAAATCTACACTGCACTTACTCATGGATAATGGATTTTTTTTTAATAAAGAAAAATTGAGTATTTTTTACATGGCAACTGTTGTAGTCCAAAGACAGCAACAGCTCTGCTGTGCATTGTTGACAGGCGCATATAGCTTGTCAGTTTATGTTACTAATCTGCCGTTGAAACTTGCTCTACTTAAGAATAATGTGTAAATCATTACACCCTCCTGAAAAGCAAGTGTTGGAATGTGTGTAGAGAAACTTCCTGGAGGACAGATCTGAGGCCCTTAGTGCTTAATGGCATTTCTACAGTTACTCCTCTGGTACCGCAATGACTACTGGCTTCCAGTAGGGAAGTTGTGAATGTGTTAAGTAACTACAAAAGACTTTTAAACACCCTGTGTCCAACTGATGGTGATTATAGTCTAAGAGGTGACAAAGTATAATCAAGTACCTAATGCCTGTCCTCCTCTTGCTGTCACCTTCCTTCTCCCAGTCTGAAAACTTCTGTATTTACCAACTTAGCTGGCTCTTGAACCATCAGCACTAGTTGTTGAGGCCAATAGCTTGTCACTTCTCTGAAATAAAATGCTGGCAAGGTGCATTAAAAAAATTAGGCATCCCATAACAGCCAGTTGCTTGGGCACCTCTTACAGATTCAGCCTGTAGCAGGCATTAATAACTGCTTATAACATAACTTCATAACACTTTTATGATACACTATCTATAAAATAATAGCTTGTAAATTGGAGGAGGTGCACTTGACATTTTAGAAAGCACTTGACAGAGTTTACATATTAATATTAAATGCTTTGCCATTTTAAGTCATCACTGATGCTGAAAGAACAAGGTCACTGAAATAAGATCACTGTCCTGCTGGCTAATGATACTAACTCCTCAGTCACGCTTTCCCCAGGGGGAGCTAGTAGAAGATCTGTATTAGGTTGGAGCATTTACTTTGTTTTCTGGTATGATACTTCCTATGAACATTAGAAAAAAAAAAAAACAAACAACAAAAAAAACCCACATGAAACCCAAAAGAAACCTCTGAATCCCTATTAAGTTTTTCTACTGCAAAAAACCTGAGATATTTGAAGGGGATGTGATCCAACTAACTCATGTTTTCCATCTGAATTTTTCACACCTACTTTACAGTAGCATTGAATAGTACAGTAGCTGAAAGGGATTAGAGGAAAATATGCTGATTTGTATTTTTTGTTGTAGATTGTATTTTGCAAGGAAATAAATTACTTGAGAGAAACTGGCTTTTGTGGAAGGTCTCTTACAGCTACAAAGCAAAAGCAAATGTGTAGTGTGGGGTTTTTTTTTAAAAAGAAAAGTGGTCATCATCAAGTTGTATATTTTAGCAGGAGCACTCAGGTATGTGTAGGGGCTAGAACAATTTTCTCATGTTTACTGAATTACAGGCCATCATCCCATGAGCTTTGAGGAGATGCCATTAGGAAAGGGGGAAAGTAATGTAGTGTTTCGGGCATTTTTTTATAGGTTTTTTTTTTTTTAAAAAGTATTTTTAAAAAGTGATTCTCTGAATAGATCGAGTAGCTTGGGCAAAACAGGAATATAAAAAAATCTTTTGGTTTAATTTTAACCTATTTCTGGATATTGAGGTAGATGGAAGCATTAGAAACATAACCTAAAATAAGTAGGTTTGGGATTGAATTCTGTCTTAATTCTCATTATTAGAGCAGCTGTGTAGGGTTCAACTTGCCTTGGCTACAGCCAGTTTTTCATGCAGGATTCTTCCATGCAGTTTGTAAGTAACAGATTACAGAATAAGAAGATATGGACCCTACTGAAGTACATGAGAGTTGTCAGATATTTCAACAATAGGATTTAATGTTCCTCCACTTCTTTTACAATATTTTCCTCCTCTAGGAATGTTCTGCAGCCAAACCATTATCTCCTGTATCTTGTAAGTGGCTACCTAGAGATGATTTACACTAATGGTTCATGACTTGCATGAATAACATTGTGTGAGAATGTGAGATTTTCTCCTTTCAAATAGTACTTGTTTAGTGGAACAACTTATTTTATGGACCACCAGCATAATGTCTTTCATCTTAAGCTGACATCACCTTGGTCCAGAGCCTAGGAGAATTAAGTGAAACTTATACTCTTCTATGTCCAACTGCCTTGACCTTATGATAAAATCATGATTGCAAAAGTATACAAGAAGAATTCCTGATACAAATTGTGTATCAAGTGGTTTAAGGTAACCAGTGCTGTCTTTACCTAAGACACTTGCTGAACTAAGCATTCAAACAACTCAGCTCTTGTTTCGAGCCAGCAAGCTATACCTCTAAATTACCTTTCCCTCTAAAGGATTTACAGAAACCCTGTACACCAAATTTTATAATCAAATCAAGACTTTTGAAATACTATTCCCAAACCCTATGTATATATGTAAATCCTACCTTATGTATCTCACAGATTTTCCCATGTTGGGGATACTGCTTACTGATGTCTCTGTCTTCAGTGTTTACCCTCTAATTGCCAAGTGGGATTTGGGAATGACCATGATGGTTTATGATGGTACTATTTCCAATAGTTGTTACTACTGCTTTGTTGGAAGTTATGCCTCTCACTGCATAGCTATGAGCAGTCAACCAGTTTAATTTAATAGCAGTTTGACAGTGACTTGAGCTAACCTGGCTTGGCAAAACTGATGAGGCACTCCCAGGATCTGTAGAGATGCATGGTCAGCAAGCTTTGGCAAGCATTTCTTCAGGTAACAGTACTGACTTAAGAATCCCTTGGGGTAGCTAACTACAAAGAACACCAAAAATTTAATTGCCTCAGTTCCCTGACTCAGCTAAGGAAGTGCTTAATTCCTTCACGTTAAGGTGCCACAGTAGTAGCTCCACTCACATCAACACAAAGCCACTCTGTGTCTCCACCTCAAGTGCTCAGCTTTATGATTTACCTCTCTGGTCTAAAGAAGAATGGCTGAATCGTTAGGTACAGTGTCTTCAACCAACCATGCCTGGATTTTTTGTCTGGCTCATAAATTACCTAGATCCCTGGTTGCCTTGTAAGTGTTGTGACCATGGCAGAGGTTGTGTGTTGTTGTGTCATATCATTGTGACCATGGCAGAGGAGGAGATGGACACAAAACCAAGCAGCAAAGACTAAGCTGACTCAGTAGAGCTGATCATTCTTACATCGACTTACCTATAAGTGTGACAAAATACCAATATACTCTTGTTTGGTTGGGGTTTTGTCCTGCTAGTTTTAACATCATGATGATAAAATTTCAGTTTTTTGTTCTATTCCTGTTATTGCAAAAGGTGTTAAGTATCCAAAAACCAGGCTAATAATAGTCCATAGGACTGTAGAGCCGGTTACCCTGTATGCTGCACCGACAGCAAAGTAGGCTGTGTTGACAGGAGTTTAGCAGATACTGTCAGAGTGTATTACTGAATTATTCAGTGTCACCATTATTTTTGTTCTAATTTTCATGGGTTTATTGATGGAGGAAATGACAGTGTGTATACTGTGAGATCAAGAGATCCATTGGATTCCTGAAAACAACATGTGACTGACATAAATGCAGTGAGCCCTGATTTGCTTGAATAGACTGTGATTTGCTGCAGGTAGTTGACAGCAAGGTGGTTTTGTGAAAATCTGAAGTGTAGCATCATAAGGAATCAGGTGTTTGGACACACACAACTGTTTTAAGAAGCAGGACTGGAGAGATAAAGTTGCCAATTGCAGAAGTAAGCAGGGGGGAAAAATCAACGTAAGAATAAAACTAAAAGAACAAAGTACATTGCATCAAAGATGCAACTGGCAGGAGAAACTAAACTTCAGAGACTTGTTACATACTTAGAAGAAAGCGTAGGGCTTGGGAGGCCTACGCTGTGCCTTTGTATCAGGCTCTTATCTACGTACTCTAGTTTTTTTCCTCTGTGCAGTGAGACAATTGTCCAAGGTTGCCAATTTACCCCAGTTAAGAGAGGGTATGAGTTTGAAGGCTGGTCCTGATCCTTCTGTGTGTGGGCACTCTTCTTCCACTTGGTCTGATTCAATCTAATCCACTCTTGGAAGGAGTCAGTTTTGACAGAGTATTCAGATCAACCAGAATAAGGTTTTCTTGTTTCCAAATAACCCTGGTTTTACACAGGGCTGTTCATAAACGGCTGTTCTGAAGTAACAGCTCTGCAGTAACTCCACCACGTAGGCGATCCTTCGAGAAAGTGATGTGAGACTGCTGGGTGAGTGGTGTTACATAAAACCAAGGCTACTCTCAAGCACGAAGGCAGCGGGAAAATTTTTCTACATGAAAATTTCTTAATCTTCTTGTCTCGGCACCCCCAGCCATAACAGGTAGCAAACAGTGATGTTGAGAACGGCTCCAAACCTGTGGTTTGTCTGTTGATGTGCTGCTGCCCATCCGAGGCCGAAGGAGCTGCTGCTGCTGCTGTCTGGCAGCAGAGCCCTCGCCTTCCTGCCGAGTGAGAAAGACTCACACTCGCTTCCGCATTTGTGCAAAATTGTGCTGCCCTACTTCCCCACGGCAGGCAGGCCCACGGTCACGGGGGTATGTCCCACACACAGCTGCCCCATCTTTGGCCCTGGTGGGTCTCTCAGGCTGTGCCTGTGTCCCCGCGCCTCAGCCTCAGCCAGCGCAGCCCTGCATCGCCCGTGCCATCTCCCATGCCATCTCCCATGCCATCTGTAAAATAAAACTGTCCCCGTCGCTGCCCCATGGCCCCTCGGAGAGGGCCTGTGGGTCCCCCGCTGCGCTCACACAGCCCAAGGGCTCAGAAAAGCACGTCCTGGCTGCGTGTTTATCTGCTTGCTCCACACCCAGCAGGGACCCCCCGTGGGGCCAC